TAGTTAATGTCAAAATAATATAAAGAGAAAATAAAGATGAGGTGAGGAAAATTGCAAATAGGAACAAAAAGGGGGGGGTGATTTTGTTCAATAACTTATGAACAAAAATTAGAGATTAAATATAAATTAAAACGAGAAATTATACAACTTCCAAATATATATTTAATCCCCCGTCTCGTTTTAATTTATATTTAATCTCTAATTTTTGTTCATAAGTTATTGAACAAAATCACCCCCCCCCCTTTTTGTTCCTATTTGCAATTTTCCTCACCTCATCTTTATTTTCTCTTTATATTATTTTGACATTAACTACACGTATGGTCGGCCACCAAAAAATGATTGTAGCAACACGGTGGTTTATTTATTTATTTATTATTTATTTATTTTTAGAAAATAATTAGTAGATGTACTACGTATGTCTACACGATCATACGGAGGCCTGTTCTCCTTATGAGAACAGAGAATTGAGGCTGGAAGCACTAGGTGAAAAAAAGAAAATGTGTATTTTCTTATCACCAATACAATATACTAAAAACAAATTCAACATTGATTATTAAGATAAGCAGAGAGAGTGATTGTCATTGCGATGCTAAGAGACATGTTACGCAGATTGATACATCACCTTCCGTCTCAGGTGAAGGTGAGTAACATAAAAAAAGGCAATTAACGGTATACTATAGTACTTAAGTAACTCAAATCTTAAATAATATTATATAAGGTTATAATTACATGTTAAATCATTTTGCTATATAGTTTTGAAGCATCAATTAAAATCTCATTTTGCTCACACAGGGGCGTAGCAACAGGGGGGCCAGGGGGGCCTGCCCCCCCCCCCCCCAACCACTTTAAAAAAAATCTTTGATTTTGCTTCGCCCGTTATGCAAATTATCCCATGTTTCCCACTATCGTTGATGCCCTGGCATACTATACTAACTAGACAGTGATTCCTTAATTCATTTTAAAAAAAAAAAATAATTAGTAGATGTACTACGTATGTCTACACGATCATACAGAGGCCTGTTAGAACAGAGATTTTGAGGCTTGAAGCACAAGATGAAAAAATACGAATTTTAAAAATTCTTAGCACCAATGACAGATATATAAAGGGAAAATTTTGGACAGGGTTTATTTTCGTTGCTTAAAAGCTAGAGAAAGGGAGAGGGCGGACCTTAAAACGCAGTTAATTATCAGAAAAGGTCCGCCCTCTGTATTTAAGATATTTTCATGTTAATAAGGGAAAATTTTGGACAGGGTTTATTTTCGTAGCTTACAAAACTAGAGAAAGAAACAGGGCAGACCTTAAAACGTCGTTATCAGAAAAAGTCCGCCCTCTGTATTTCAGGTATCCCGCATCTTCTAACATGGCAAATATGATGGGTACATCTCTCTCTCTCTCTCATTAACAAAAGAGAAAATGGCAGGGTGGACATTAAAACGCAGTTATCAGAAAAGGTAATTCTGTAATTTAGATATCTTCTTACACAGCAAAAAATATGGACGGGGTACATATTTCTCATTAACAAAAAAGAACGACGAGAGACAAAGGAAAAATTTTGATGAAAAAAGTTCATGCACTTGAGCCTTCGGCTCAGGTGAGCTGAAAGTAGCAGCGGGACCATTAGAAAGGGTCCGCCTTTTGTTATGAAAATAATTTTTTTTTTAAAAAGAATAAATTGCTAACTAAATTTCCAACAAGTGACTACTGATAAAAACTGGAAAACATGCATAAGAAAATACATCGACAAAAAAGCGGACGACATGCACTTCATGTAATGCTACTGGTTATGAATTTCATTTCTTTTTACAGTGTAATTTGAATATACAAGCAAGGAATATACTTATATAATCTACGTAAGATAATTCTTCCTTACACTTTGTAAAGACCATCTTTAGAATTAAAAATTTAGAAATAAAATTTCAATTGCTGGAACATCATTGGCATCGGAAGCAAACTGGAATAGGAGGGCTATTTCAAAGAGAAAATTTTGTTAAATCTCAAAAAAAAAGAAAAGAAAAGGGAAAATTTGACCAGGGGAGGGGAGGGGGTTAGGTAATTTTAACACTACCACTTACCCTTCTTTCACTACACTGCAACGTGCCCGTTGAAAGGGGGGGGGTTAAACTTACGTTCCAATTTTCACACATAGATTAATCTGACTATCTTTGCAAAAACAGTGCCCCCCCCCCCAGTTCCGATGCCTATGTACATTGAGAGAGTAAATTTCTTAAATCGTGCCTATTATCATATATACATGTAATTCATTGTTCTATGATGTTGTGAGCTCCTTTAACTTTTTTCTCGTTCGTGGCATACACTAGTAGTTTGTTCATTTAAACTGACAAGAAGTCAAAACTGTAATTTCAATTACATTGAATGTCTGAACGCAACAAAATAAACTTATTATAAACACACATACAAAGAAATAAAAATAACCTCTTACAGTCATAGAAAAATCTAACGTTAAAATGAAGTGTTTGATACATGTACGTCATGATTTTAAAAGACACTTTCTATTCAATTTATAAAAAAAAATATGTACAGTGGTCGGAACGTTATTGTTGACAAACCAATCGTGTAAAATCGTTCGTGTATCGTGAGTGATCGTCCGTGTAACGTGCGAGATCGTTCGTGTATCAGACTCAATCGTGTGCGTTTTTAATCGTGCGAGATCGTGCGTTGAGAATCGTGTAAATTTCGTTTTGTAAGTTTTTATCGGAATGTTATTTGTAATATAAGCATTTCCCTTGTTTGTTTTTTTTAATTTATTAATTAAAATCCAAATAAAATGAAAAAGGGCAATTTATATAATAGAATGCAGAACGAACTAATTATCGCTCGTAAACAACCAATATAGTAAGTCGTACAATATTAAGTTCTCGTCAAATAGCGCGATCAATATTGTGATAAACTTACATGTAGATCTTTAACGCCTTTTTGAAAAATCTGATTTTAATCACTATTTACTACTTATTGTGGTCAAGATAATCTTGAAATCAATTCATTGAAAATAAATATATAATTTTTTTAACAAAGAAATAAACATTTCTCAATGCTAACATAACTAGTTAGTCGACACATATACATGGACACGGCATGATTTTCGGGAGTTTTGATTATCTGTGTTTATCTCTTAAGCCAATTTGTAATTAGTTTATTAATTAAGTCATTCCATGCTGCCATTTTTGTTCAATCGTATCCCCCTTTCTGCATATCATGATATCCAATTCAATCAAATTATACGACCCACATACATGTACATCGTTTAATAGAACGAACAAAATCCGTTTTTTATCGGAGAATTACCTTAAAAATAATCATTTTTAATCTGAAATATTAAGTCTTGCATATATTTACATGTAGTAACAAAAGTATCATTTTCCGTTTTTTTCTTCAAAGTCTATGAAATAATATCAATAATTCTTTGAATTCTTAAATAAATATTAAGCCGTATTTCGTTTTGAAAATATCAGATTCCTAAATATTTTGAACTATTTTGAGTGAAGAATCGTGCGTTTGCGTTAACAATCGTGTAAGATCGTGTAACGTGTAGAATCGTGAACGTGAAAGATCGTTCGTGTAACAGGTTTAATCGTGCGTTAATCGTGCGGAATCGTTCGTGTAACGTGATCGTTCGTGTAAGTTGTCAACAATAACGTTCCAACCACTGTATGCGTATCAAGTTTCTCTTTAATAAGTATTGGTTGAAAAAATTATCCCTATAGCTAGTAAAACGGTGGAAAGGGAGAAAAAAATATGTACTGTCAGATGCAATATTTCTGTGGTGGAAAAATCAAGTCGGAGGCTGACAGAAAATTCTAGTATACCAAGCGAAAGACAAGTGCACTTAAGCAATACTTAATGGCCCTTTTTGTGAGCCGGAATCCCCCGCCCCCAAATATTAAGCTTTTCATTTCCGACATTTTTAAGTTTTTACATTTTAAAAGTTTTCATCTCCGACCGTTTGTCAAATTCATTTCAGTACTTTTTCGGCAATGAAAAAAGAATTCGTTCATCCATTATAAAAATCCTTAAAGTAAAATATTTTAGATATTCAAATAAAAGGCTTTGCTTAGCTGTCAAAGAAACTTGATTGATTTTACCCTGGAGCAGATGTAGGTATTGTGAACTTTCACATAACTCTTTCCTTTACTTATAACTAGTCTTAATATTGTCTACAGAGTTGTATGTAATGATTAGATTCGAAAAAACGGGATTTGAAATAAATAATATTACATAATGCATATATACAACACCCTGTTAAAATTCTATATTCATCTTTGTTATATATGCTGACCTTAAATTGCCATAAAGGTATCCTAAAAAAATCATCAGATGTGAAAAAAAAATAAATAGATAATGTCGGAAATGAAAATAAAATTGTCGGATTCCGAAATAATAACAAAAATTGTAGGAAAATGCAAAATGCATGCAAAATTCAGAAAATGAAATGCATAGATCTAATAGATATAATAATTAGCCTTTGAATAGGTCCGAAACCGCTGCATTTCAATTCCGGAAATATGCATAGCATTTCCGACATTTTTTTAAAATTTCATTTTTGACATTTTGATGTTTTCATTTCCGACATAATTTTGTTTTCATTTCCGGAATTTACCTGTGTGACAATTCAGTGTTATTTAAGTAAGTAAAAATGGAATTTTAAAAGTATTTATTACAAAATATTGATAAGAATTGAAGAAAAAAACCATTTGCACATGTATGCATACATGTTGCACTAAGTCTAGGTACAAGGGTTCAATGAGCATAAACTTTTTCACCACATCTAATGTGCACTAAATGTAATGTCAGTGACAGCACCACACTTATGTTTAAATCATTGATAGATTTACAAAACTCAGATATTGGATTTCAATGATATATATTAATGATTTTTTTCTTTAAATTTTTCATAAGTAAAGTCTTCAGATCTGTAACTAAAAGTACTACATATGTATTTGAAAAATGTCGGAAATGAAAACAAGCATTATCATGTTTATAGGAAAGAGACTTGTAACTAAATGATTCGTGTTGGACTTACGAGCATCCATCTGTTCATTCCATACTGATTAATCTGCCAGTAAATAAGGCGGTGAAGGTAAATGTATGTACATTTGTATTCTTAATATTTGTTAATGATAATATGTTGACATTAGTGTATTAATTGATACGACTTTATATCATCAATTTATTTTAAAAGAATAGTTCTTCAATTAATATTGAATGAACACATGCATACAATTTGTATAAAAAGAGCCGAGGGTGGACCTTTTTTAAAGAGCCAGGCCGGACCTAATATGTTATCGTATTAGGTCCGGCCGGACCTTTAAACGAGGCGGAACAAATATTATGCATATGCGACACCGGACATCTATAGTAATCGGACAGTGACTGGGGCCATTTAGAGAATCGGTGCGGATCATCGGTAGAAAATAAGTTGAAGTTAAAAATCAGCGATATCATAATCTCCACCGATGCCCCACATCGCTCCTCATCGGCAACCCATCATTAACAAGTCATTCAAGGATTGGGCGATGTATGGTCGAGCATCGTCTAGTGTCCGTTGAATCCGACGACATCGGGGGTTTGATAGGTGTGCAACAGACATCGGCCGTTCATCGGTCGATGTTCGACAAAAAATTGGCGTATAGGCAACCGACGTACGAACGATGTTCACCAATGTATGAGCGATGTAATATACATCGGCCGATTACCCTGAAACATCCTTTTATGATTAGCAATGCATCGCTGGGCCTTTGTAAGTCCGGCCGGCAACCACGCCATTTTTATCATAAAACGCATTGGTTGCCCATCGTACATCCCATCGCAGGATAATGTAACTGATACTTTAAGGACTGCTAGCACGATGTGGACCGATGTTGGGGCATCGCTCACGTACACCACGAATTACCACCGTTCTACGCCCACAGGCCGGGAAATGTGACTAAGGCATTATGGATTATATGCGTCACAACCGTGGGATGAGTTTATTTTTGATTCTTAATCATTTGATTGGCTGGGGTTCTGTTTTCCGCTCCGCCCATTCTTAATGACAAAGATTTCTCTTAATATGATATTACTATTATTTAGACGAATTTCCAGAGCAAATCAACTAATGTTACAGATATTACGTAATCTTACAAACTTCGTGTATTTTATTCTAAGGCTAGAAAATATGTTTGCTTTTTCAGGAGACAATGGACAGTGCAGTCCAAGATCTTATTCGTCCCATATACAAAAACGGAAGATATGAAAATCCGTTTGACACATGGGAGACTACAGGTGGGATTGGGAACATCTTCAAAATGATGAGGAGTGAAGACTTCAGCAAAATACCTAATCAGAGGGTCTGTACCAATGCCAAGCTGATTTTTTCCTATATGAATAAACATTCAAAAGATGCAAGTAAGCTGAAATTATAAAAATTAAAGAAACTCAGAGCTCTAATGAAAAATTTCTACGTAATTTTCCTGAAAGATGAGGCGTTTATGCGTTAGAAAACTATATGACATAAAGATATTCTAGTACATTCTGAGTTGACGGAATTATCAAACTTGGCTAGTTCTTAAAGTTTTTTAATTAATTCATTTGGAAAAATGAAATGAGGAATATGAATGAAAACAAAATAAAATACACGCTATGTTAATGATATATACAAAATACATATAAACTGTCTTGAAATACCCTCTGTCAATCTGGAATCCGAGCTCAAATTTGCTTATATTTGAAGTCAATAATCTTATATTTTGCTCATCCTGGGATAAAGTTTTACATTAATTCTTGCAGAAGTTCATATCTATTTCATATGCATTTTCTATATTTTGGCATTGACTGACGAAATATAGGATGACCTTATTTTGTTTGTTGCGAGAAATTGCTGCATCATAAATACCTTTTTCAAATTTTCTATTCAAAAATCATGAAAAGAATGCTACAATTGATTATGAATTATATGCTTCGCAGAAAACTCAAGTGCATTCAGTTTCACGTATATGGATTCATCATCCTTACTTCAAGAAAGTACTATGGAAGTACTATGGAAAAGATATTTTTCGTGCGAATTAAGTGTTTGGAGTTTCATTGGGGACAGATTTATTTTTTTTCTTTTAGAAAGGAAAATCAAAAGATATTTATAATACATTTTATATAATACACTTGTGCAAAAATTGACCATGTATTCTTTAATTTTTTTTTCACGAAAGGAGTTGGATAAAACCCTACCAGTGGAAACCCCCGATTTCCGAAAATTACGGAACCCACCACAATCTGAGCTTCAAATAATGTGGATAGGCCATGCCAGTGTGTTGGTACAGATGGATGGGGTTACTATTCTAACCGATCCAATATTTCTGGATAGGTTCTCCCCTGTACAGTCTATGGGACTAAAACGATACCGTCCTCCACCCTGCAAAATAGAAGATCTACCACATATAGACTGTGTTATTATCAGTCATAACCACTACGATCACCTAGACCCTGGTAGTGTACAAAGCCTCAATTCCAAGTTCATTGATAAGATCACGTGGTTTGTAGCGGCGGGAACGAAGGAATGGATGTTGAATGTAGGTTGTAAGAATGTGATTGAATTGTCATGGTGGGAAGAAGCGGAGTTACCTGGAAGACCAGATTTTAAGATTGCTTGCGTCCCTTGTCAACATCAAAGTCAACGTAGTTTATGGGATTATATGAAGGTAAATTGTAAGAGTTTGTGGCAAAAAGGACAAATAATAGGTAAACGTCAAACTGCATGGGAAATAATTTTAAATACTGTACAAGTAGCTGGATTTTTTTTTCAGAGGTATGCTTTATATAAACAAGTAAACGTTGCAAAAAAAGTTTTTGAATCCAATTCATGAATAGTAAATTGCTTAAACATTAACCCACAGCAAATTTTCTTATGAATTTCTTTTCCTTCTAGGAAAGAATTATATCTTTAAAAATCATTATGTTCTTTTGCATATGTTTTCAGGCTCTCTGGTGTGGTTGGATTGTCAAGGGACCCACGAAGAGTTTCTATTTTGCTGGAGATACAGGCTACTGTAGTGGTTTCAAACAGATCGGAAGAAAGTATGGGTCTATAGACTTGGCTGCAATCCCAATAGGAGCCTACTATCCAAGGTAAGCTTATAAAAGAGTATCTGATGAAGATAGTGTCCTTTGATTGATAGAAAAAGTAAATATTAAAAGTTGAACTCGTACATGATAGAAGTTGGTAACAAGACCCCTTACAATCTCTCTCTCTCTCTCTCTCTCTCTCTCTCTCTCTCTCTCTCTCTCTCTCTGGTATTCTAATGATGAAGATGAACAGAATTTAATTTGTTTTTATCATATAGGTGGGCTACGAGACCTTGGCATGTAGATCCGGAAGAGGCAGTGAAAATATTTGAAGACGTTGGAGCAAAGAATGCCTTGGGTATACACTGGGGAACGTTCAGGTTGACAAAAGAGGTCCGTTATACTAATGTCAGACTTTTATTTGGCCTTAATTCAATATTGGTAGCCATTATTAAGTTATTTTGTGTGAACCACTTAATAGATTTCTAAATGATAGATTTCGACAATAACTCTAACTTTTATATGTACAGTTTTATTTGGAACCTCGGACAAAGCTTGGAGAGGAGCTGGATAAGAAGAATATAAGTAGAGATAAATTCTTCACACTCCGTCACGGTCTGGTACACACAATCGGACAAAATATACCTGAACATACCTAATTATGTCTCTAACGTTTAGTTAACCCATGACCTACAATCCCACACAATAGAACGCCTTCATCTTTTCACATACTTTATGTTAAGATACTGATGATAATGACATTTCATTTGTTATTTATCACTTTCTAAAATTTTCTTACGTAGGACATGTACGTTATGATGAATTATATTACAAGTATTGTTGTCATTCTTTTGCATTTAAAAAAAAAATTAACGATGTACTTTTTATGCTGTATTTCAAGTATATATATTTAAACTTAATTTTTTTACTTAGTATTTACATGTATATTGAATTGAATCCCTTTTTTATATTGAAACAAATTGTGATCCTCTTTACGAGGAATCTTCAGGAAAGCAATATACGGATTCTGTTTAAATTATTTTTACTATAAAAAAAATTGTTGTCTCAATGTTTTTACTACATGTGTTTAATCCATTAATAATTTAAAACTATTATAATAATGTGAGTATATGGGGTATATATATTTTGAAGTATCTTCCTCTCATGACAGTAAGTAACAAAATTTGCACATACTTTTTTAATGTATAGCTGTTGATTGTCACATAAATGGATAGATAATATAAATGATAGAAATATGGAACTTAATTCAAGTTCAAGTCTATTACATATAAAACAATGCAATTTGGGAGCAAAACAAACACTTGCCTCAAAATTAAGAAGTGGGTGTCCAAGGCATCAAATATAGGATTGGGTGTCTAAGAGGAGTAACCATTCCCTGATGACGGTCAAACTCACCAAGCCCTTATCATGATCTGGCAAACGAAAAAAAAGTCAGGTTCCCAAATGTACATGTAGAATTGATTATCAAGTAATTTTGCGAGCAGCACCACACGCGAAATAAAATTACTCGCCTTTATTTTTATGGAGCTCAAATCTACGTAAAATCTCTTGACCAACCGTTCATTCGCGAATTATTATTCTCGGGATTTGACGTTGAAGAGCCCATTTGCGGTAATAAGACTAGTACTCGCGAAAAATAAGGAATCTACAGTAAATGAAAAACTGTCGGCCAGCACTTTATTGAAAAATGAATACTTTATGTTTCATAGAAATATTCACATATTTGAAGTGTCATCTTTGCCGTTATTTTCATCTGATTTTTATTTTTAAAAAATCTTTATTTGCACTTGAATAATTTATAATTATTTATTTAGAACACAATACTGAAAAAAACAATACTGAATATTTTAATCAATAGCTTTCATTTGCCAGAAAGCTTTACATTGGAATGTTTATGTGGTTACATCGATGTTTATTTTTGCAATTCAGCTGAGAGAGGGATTTCAGCAAAGATAACATATTGAATGTTTATTACCAAAGATTTAATTTTCTTTCATATCAATAGATTGTATTGTTGAACAATGTTGTACATGTAAGTCCTTTATTATAAAACGTGGAGATTACAAACGTTATTAAAGTTCAAAGTCCATTTAATTCTTTTAGATAAATATGGAGCAGAGCATACACGGACCTCCAAAAACCTCAGAGGACGGATAAGATGCCATGAAGGAATGAACATCCCTTGCCTACTGGTCTCTCCCGCTGTGTACTCCTTGTCATGATCGGGAGAAACAGGAAAACTCGTAGACAATTCAGAGTGTACAATAACGTAATAATTTGCATGTAAAACACTATTCAGCATCTGCCTTAATGATTGGTTGTTAACATATAATATTCATTTTTGAAAGCAATCTGACAACTTTTAAAGTATTTTTTTCTAATGTGCTCTCTTTGTCACCAATGAAAGTGCAAGGCAGAGACTTTGAATAATCAAACGTTAATAAATGACGAAACAATGCTGTTTTCTAAGAAAGGGGTGGGGGTCAAAGACAGGAGAATAATTAGAAAATGAGATAGTCTAAATATAGCATGCAGGACGTCCATACACTAATTTGAAAACATGCCTGATTGCAAAAAAAGTTTAAATGTATGTCGACGAACGTTTCTAAAAGTGACTTAATTTTAATCCCCTACCCCATTAACTAAATATAAATTTTATTTTCGCTATATTTTCATCAAAGTATGACCTGTTTATTCCTGTTTTCCTGTGACAACCAAAATTAAATTTTAAAAGAATGCACCGTATGATATTTTTTATGGGGTGGACATGATCTACTGTGGATTTCCTATATACTCTCTCTAAAACCATATCTTTTCGACATCGCTGGATCTGCGCCTCTACGATAGCAAAATGTTAGTAGACGCCAAGAAGTGAAAAAAATCTGCAAATAATGGTACCCATTAGATAAAAATTTGCAAATTTAAGCCACTGAAAATTTTATATTTATCCATGCGAAATTAAAAGAGAGAAAAGCAAAATGGTTTATAAAACTTAAAATCAGGAATTTTTTGATAAACATTATTTTCATTCGGGAATATTTTTTGGGCTATTAACTTTTGGTAAATAGAAATACAAACCTTGAACAGAAAACTTCACTTTTGTAATTCTGCCTAAAAGTCCACTGCGCAATGAAATCTTTTCTCCTTGCAACATAAGGCAATTTTGATGATTTTTTAAAGTGTCCTAACTTCATAATCTTTGATGATGTCATAATTGTCCTGTCATGCATATCCTTAATTGTCCGAGGATTTTCTAATAATACAAAACAATCCAAAAACTTGTAAAATCTATTATAAATTCACACTGGTGAAATTTTCAAAAGGAAACTGACTGAATTATTTTCTTATAAACTATGTCATAGTAAAATAGTGTTTGAAAACAGGTTATCCGAAAAAATAAGCCAAAATACATACATGTTCATGATCAAATAGTTTGAAAACTTTCACGCCATTTTTCTTATCTTTCTATGTCAATAAACATTTCTGTTTTATTGATCGTAGAGTACCAAAAATGTTATCTTTTCTTTGTACTAGTAAATCAATATCAAACAAGTTGCATACTTTACCTATAATCACCTAAAATAAAGAAAACAGACTAAAATCCAGATAAACAGTAGAAACCAAATAAAATATCAACAATTAAACAGTTATACAACAACGTGAGGACTGTCCCATTGAGCCCATGCTTCTTTCGAGTCCATTACTGATCCAGATAATATGCTCGTGTAATGTAATGTGGGAGGGAAGTTATTCAAGACGTTCGACAGAAAAATACCAGGATTCAATGTTAACTTAAATTTCCTCACATTTTTGTCAATCTGTTCTTGAACACTTTATTGTGGTGGAATATCATTTGTTCTTACACTTAGATTTTTTATATATTTTTGGTATCTCTAGCCTACAGCAATATGAGCTTCAACTTTCAAGTCGGAATTTTTGTTGTTAAATTGTGATTAACTAAAGGACTATAAAAAAACCCATATATAAACTTCCGTTTTGATATTTGCAATGAAAGAACTATTCATAACGTTTGCAATTGATTCAAGTAAAATTACATTATTGTCATCCTGAATTCTTATATACTACTTTATTACATTTTCAACATTGAAACACTGTGATTCATATATTGAATAAAAGTGATATTCTATCAAAGTGTCAAAGGATATGAAAATGATATCTTTTCACAGTGTGACCTTGGGATAATTTTACAAAAGAACTTAAAGGAGCCTGATTACATATATGTACTTTCCCTTTTACATTGATTTTCTTTTTAAAAAGAATTTAACATGATATATTTTTTACGGTAGGAATTTCTAGCAGTATCATTATTTTTGCAAATTTTTAAAAACAACATAACTATTATACATGTATATCGTATCAAATACTGATGGACTTTTTCATACTAATTTACACACTGAATTAATATTGTCTATGAATTTCCTTTTTTTATTATGACACGGAGTACACGGCGGGTGTGACCGGTTGGCAGGGGATGCTCACTCCTCCATGGCACTGATCTCATACCTGAAGTTTTATAGACCAGCTTTTCCTCTGCTCCGAATTTGTATTCTTTCAATAAACTGAGCTTAAATACTGTTCGTTATCTATATATCACATAAATAAAAATAAAGATCATTTTGTGCGGATCAGATCATTATTATTCTTATCAATGATAGTGTCCAAAATCTCTTTGTCTGTTTGTCTGTTTTTGTGTGAAAAAAGTTAAGATTACGAACAGTGATTGATCGCACAAAAACTACGCACAATACAATTCTGTGAACAGCGCATAACAGGGACCTATGGGAATTCCAGAGATGGGATCAGATGCCTGGGGTGTGTAAGCATCCACTTTGACCTGTCATACCCTACCTTGAGCCCTATTTATTGAGCAAGTATACGGATCATTCTGTAGTCAAATTCAGCACACAATTTCTACCAATTGATATGCAACAAGTAAGTCAAACACTAGCAAATTAAAGTTTATGCAAGATAATCTTGTCGTTCTATATATCTGTATACGCACAGTCTGTTGGTCTTTCCTGATCCCATCCAAACAAGATGATTTTTTCCATCATATCCCAGTCCCAATGGCTGAACCATTCCATCTTGTTCTGTTGGTAGAATTGACAGTAGGAGACCGTCCTTGTTAATCATTTGTATTGTTTGGTCTAATCGACCACAGATCAGGATATTTAAGAATGCATCTACACAGATTCCACAAGGCATAAATAATGATAATCCTTCTGGTGGCCCTGTGTAAGTAAAACGATATTTTCCTTCACGGTCTGTGACCACCACACCCTTTCCTATATCAGACACGACAATATCTTCATTCCGGTTCTCCGTGATGTAGACTGGTTCATGATATAACGGTTTGCCTTTTTTTGTGGTATTGTATGGTTTGGATTGGTTGTAGTGTACTATTATATCGAATGCATTTCACATCTGATAATGGTGTATTGGGATTATCTGAATCATATCTCATCATGACCAGCAAATCTCCAGTAGAGGAAGAATGACAGATACACCATGGTTCCCATCGTTCTGTTCTCTTTATTAGTGTCAACTTTTTAGAATTGTCTGCACTTAGTTTGTTAATGTTCCAGTCTTTGTCTACATAAATCAACTCTCCTGCACTGTTTACTGTATGCACACCATAAAGTTCGCTTACATCAAATAAATGATGTAGATTGTTATCTTTAGAATTTCTTAAAATAAGACTGCGTCCATTTGACCCAAATCCTATCTGGTGTCAAAAAAGAAATGTGAACACCATGAATTAAGTCAGGTACAGCAACACACTTCTTTAACATGCCTTGTGGCATTAGCTTTAACATTTGTTCATTTCTTACTTGTCTTTTTCCTACCTTTGAGATTTTGATTTCAACTAATAACTCTAAAATGCCCTCTGTGTCTAATTCTTCATTTAAGTTACACATTATGGTATAAGGAAGGTCTATTGTTTTGGGGATGGGGGTCTTCTTTATGAACAACAAAAATTTTACAGATTTGTTTGCTAGTTGCTCGTATCTGTGCACATATTCTTTCATTTTGTGATGTTTCAATATAAAGTTCATATAAAAGTTTGTTTTATGCAAAAAATTTAGTGTCTTACTGTTTATGTTTATTGATTAGTTTTTTCAAGTTTTCAGCTTTAACCGTGATCTGTTTTTGGATGCTGGAAAATTTTGCTTTTAAAGCTTTGGCGTCAGAATAGAGATCTGCCAGCATGGCACGATTGTATGGGAGGCTCTCACCTCTAATTTCAATAATTTTCCCGCTGTTTTCCTGTCCTTGGACTTTGTAGCATAATTTGATATCCATAAGCTCGTGTCTTAGGTGCTTAAAATTTGATCACAAATTGGACATTCACAAGATTTGCACCAGTTTTTATATTTGCAATCTCGATGTTTCTCACATGACTCAGGTATTATAAAGTCATCATGCTTTAAACGGTAAATAACGGCGTCATGGTCTTTGGTATCGAGGTACACAACGTGTCTCTGCTTACAATACATACATAGATTTTGTTTGCATGGTCTGCAGTAAAATTCTACGTCATTCCCACACTGACAGCATTGAAGCACTTTAATCTGTGTCGTGACTTTCGTATTCACCATACTACCTTTATTTGGTCTCACTTGTCTTCTAGGTTCAAAATTTTATTTCAGAGTACAGTCTGCAATTTAAAAACATACAAAATATCGATAACTAACAATATATTAAATTCCATAATAATTACAAGAATTAAGAAATAAATATAATCATATTTTTCACAGACACGTAAACATTTATGATAAGTAAATCGAAATAGGGGACAGATGATACAAACAAACTTTCATAAAAAAGATTTTTTTAAATAACAACTTGGGTCATGTTTATATAAGTGAAATAAACAAGTTTAACCGGATAGTTTTTCAATTCATTCAAAATTTCACAATAATGGGATTTGAAGCGACAAAATTCGGATAGATTAATAAGGATGGTTGCAGATAAGTAGAATTTAACATCATAGAAGGTTTACAATTTCTTGATATTTTATTAATTTATTTTTTTGCACCATTTACAACAAAAATAGACCTCAAAATATATAACAATCCAGGTTTGTAGTATCTGTCCTTAAATTGAAAAACGAACTTCTAATAAAATTGTTGTTCACTAAAACAAGATTTTTTCTTTAAATCCCACAGAATTATTTTTAATTAGTAACATATACAGACTTTGTTAAATAATTCCTTCAAATCTTATTCTTTTGTAAAGGTATATTCAAAACTTACACATTTCACATCTTTTTAAATGAGAGAAGGGAAATATACTTTTTAAACACAATTTTTTTTTTAGATTTTCTAATTTGTACTTTAGTTTTCTTTGATTTGAATTAACCTATATCAAAGGTGTATTTCTTGTGCCATTGCTCTTGCCTACCAACAATTTCGACCCTTTGACCTTGATCTTGAAGTTTGATTTTCTTTTTTAAAACTGTGTTCTTTGCCATAACTTTTGAATGGTTACTGTTAGATTTTCCATTTCACAGATGTGACAGTATTTCCATTAAAGGGATTGGGGCAGATTAGAAGATCATATTTTCTAAAATTTTCTTAATAATATCATGACTTATATGATGCTAGTGCATTTCACACACACCGAAATACACGTATATAAAAAGCGTATTCAGATTCTTATTTTATCTATAAATAATTCAAACGACAGGGAATGTATTCGGACTTACAAAGAAATTGACCGGAGAAAATAATTTTCGGAAAAAGTTACATTTAAAGATTAATGTTCTTTAGTTGTTTTCTTTCGTTTATTAATGTAAATTTTTCAAATCTACATTTCTTATCCTGATTTTTTTTTTCATTGCAGCTGAGAAAATTAATCTCCAAACATAGCCAAACCAACATTTTGTCCTTTAAAGCACCAATTTTTTAATGAATTTTAGCTAGAAGTCCTTCAGGGTAGGCCTGTCTCTAAATTAAATTATGAAACTGTGATAGATTTTGATGTACGGAGGAACTTAAAGCAAGCTTTTTCTAGGATGATCCCTCTCCTAGGGTCGAAATTCGTTAAAAAATCTAACAAAAAACCTATTTCTATCATACTGGTTTATATTTTTAAGTTTCCTGGTTTGAATCCACCTATTCGCACACTTTTATTTTTGCAAACTTTGAACCTGTATATTCACCAATTTAATTTTTTCATACAGGTCTTTTTATTTTCCTTCTATTTCCTTCCCTAAATTGATATGAGAGACAGTTATGGGAATACAGATCATAAGTTCTATTTAACTAAACGCAATCAGCCGGAACTATACTTCAGTGTAAGCACTCTGTTAGACGTTACAACTGATTTACTCATCTCTGGATTATAGTATTGTTGTGCCACAGTGGGAGAGGTACTGCAGAGTAGATGCAGTTCATTCCTCGAAAAAAGTGCGTGCAATGGCGATATCAATGCCAAAAAAGTAGGAGAAAGTATATGTATACAGATTAGAATAAGACATGTTATTAAGATTATTTAAGCTTTTATGTCCCGTTGCCAGTACTCAGACATCAAGTAAGGACCCTCATACAAAGGATTATCTAAATACTGAGGTGGGGGGGGGGGGGGGGGGGCGTAAGATACATATTAACACACAGTTGACTAGAAGTAAAGCGAAATATGAGAGAACAAAGAAATACACCCATGTGGCCTGATGTCAATAGCTTTTTCTAAAGACTAAAACCAATATCGGGCTTATGGGTCGACGCATATCATATTTTTCGCGGCGTGTTGATCGACACATATCCTTGCACTTTCACAAAGTGGACTTAAAACAAAACCAACTTACCATTATTTTTAGTACATGGTCGTGGCAGCTTGCAGACTAAATAAATTTAACACACCCGGTAAAAAGTTAGCATTAATCACGGTATCTAACCCACATACTAAAACACCCGGAAGTTGTTGCGCATGGAAGCATGTAAACAAGCCTAGAAAAGAACAAGTACCCGTTAAATTGCAAGTTGAGCATTACTATTGACAAACAAACCTGATGAATTAACGTAATTATCATTTGGCATATCCCGCTGGATAAGTATCAATTGTTTGCATTAAAATTGAATAATTGCTCATATATCTTCACATGCATTAAATGTTTGTATGTTGCTTCTAGTCCACAAGAGATATAATTATTTCCCGAAATGACAAATATTGAAAATTGTGATACTAAAACAATGTTTTGTATGCTTCAGAGTTTTGCATTTAAATTTAAGTTAGTAGGTTTGAAATTACACAATTAACACCCTTTTCATTGTAATCACTGTATGCGTCGTTTCAAACGAGATTGTTCGAACTGTATTGTTCGTTCCTAAAATAAACGCAAATTGTTCTGGCATGCAATTGATGAACAAACAAGAGATTCACAAGTCTTGATGGTCACCTGAGTACCATAGTCCATGCATACATTTAAACTCACATTCAGGGAGTTTCATTCTTTCATTTAAACCTAATTTGGCGTCTAAAATGTGAGAATTAAGAATTAAGACATTATTAATGGTTGTCAATAAAAGATTAAAACAACAACCAAAAACAAAATACACACACACAAATAAATAAAAATAACAAAACAAAATTAAAAATCAAAAAAGAAAAGGAAAGGAAAACAATCAAACAAACCCCAAAAAACTAGAGGTACTCTGAGCAATGAGCTCACTAAATGATATCTCTCGCCTCCCGTATTAATATAACGGCAATGTCCATGTTTTGCATGACTTGTAGAATGACTTGTGTGAAACCCAATATATGTGTCGGACCAAAAAGTAAAATAGGAGGTGCACAATGAAAATATGTAATAAAGATTCTGTGAAAGTCTCATCAAATTACATTCGGTGGTTTGAGAAAAGTTCGAGCGGACAGACATATCGATTACTTTATACCCTCCCGCTTTTCAAGCAACAATAAAATTTAAAAACAATAAAATTGTTAACACATGACAAATATCGACAAACGGGAACCAAAACAGATTAGGTCATATGGGTAACTCGGGAGACCTAAATTTATTTTTAAAATGTTGCATTAACGATATTTTTATAAAACAAATACGCGATAATGATTAATTCCCTTTTACTGAGTATTTTCTTAAGGATGAATGGCTGTACATTAAAGGCAATTGAGGATACATCAAAAGTAGAATGATACAACATTGTTTTTGTGTTTATACAGCACTAAACAGGCTCGTAGGAAGTACAACATGCATTCAGTGGGAGGGGGCACAGACAACTCTGAAAAATTCCTTGACAAGCAAAAAAAAGTCATCATACGGTTTTAATACTGAGGGGACATAAGCATATAGAAGCATTATAGTACATGTAGCTATGTTTTCTATAGTATCTATTTATTGCAAAATTATTGGGGGCACCCCCCTTTCTGGTTCCTACAGCCATGCTAAAAGAAAACATTACCTCAAAAGGCATAAACGCACCAGGCATGATGTAAAATCATAAACTACTGCTGTTTGTTTTGGAAAAGTGCTATATATATTAATAATATGGCCTTATGCGATAAATGTTTGAAAAATTTACATGCACTCGAAACAAGGTTTAACGCTGATTGAACTTGGTCTGTTGATTACATGTAGGTCATGAAATTGTAAGCTTTGAATTGAATTTCTTAGAGATGCTTCTGAATAATAAATTTGTGTTGGTGTCTCATTTCCTTTTGAATAATTTTGTCTTTTATTTCTTATCTTACTCTTTGTTATGTAGTCATTTTCAGAACTGATACCCCAATCAAATGTTAGAAGAAAAAAAAATTCCCTCGCTTTCACTGAAAGGGAGGTATTAAATTGGGTCTGTCTGTCCGTCCGTCTAGCTGTCTATCTGTCTGTAACACCTTCGTTTCTGCGTTATATCTCAACGCTTTCAGATTTGGCAATGGCATTTCTCCCTGTGGCCTAAGG